ATTGGATGTAAAACTTTTGGATGCCCTTATTTATGTGCGCCTTGTTCCTTTTAAGTTGCCTAGATTTTCTTGTAATTGTAATCTGGGGGTATAGTACGTCGTGTATCGCAGGTAATTTAGTGTTAACAATTGAGTTGAAAACGTAAATTGGCCACCGTAAAGAGTAAAGAAGCCGACGTTTCGAGCGTTAGCCCTTCCTCAGAGCGAAGTCAGAGCGTCGTCTAACGCTCGAAACGTCAGCCTTTTTACTCTTCACGGTGGCCAATTTACGTTTTCAACTCAGTTGTTAACACTAAATTACCTGCTATACTCTCCCACCGACGCAGGACCACAGTTTCTTTAGGAACTTACCCCCTTTATTCATACGTAGTGTATCGTTCGTTAGGCGCAAGCTTCAAAATGCCCCTCGGGATCCAGAGTGCAACCTGTGTGTCCAAAGTTTAAGGCAAATTTCTCTCCTTGCTTTTCTCTCTCTCCTTTCCTCTCCTCCACTCCTGTTTAATGTTCAAACCCAAAACAATAACCCAGAAATGGGAAATGGGTGATCAAAACACATATGTAGACTTTTGTTGGTATTTGGTAAGTTATAGCTTGAGATTTTTCGCATTTTCCGACAATTAATGTTTGTCTAACGGTGTGGGTTCAGTCCTAGAAACGTAGACACCATGATATTTCATCACAAGAATTTCCCATATGAATTCAGATTTGTGGAGAGTAACTAAACATAGTTACTATCAGTGTAAACTAAAGCAATGGATAGCGTTGAAGGTGTGCTCTGATTGGCAACTCAAACTCCGAGTATCCTTTGTTATTCACCTCCGAGCAACGCACGTGGGATTTTGTAATCGTTGCAGGATTGAATAAGTTAAAATCATTCTTTTGTGCGATATTATCTCACTATTAAGTATAAACTAAGACAGCTATTTACCTCAGTGACAGTGGTAAATATCAACCACTTGCCCTCTCCACCTCGGTGAATAGTTGTCAAGAGATTATTATTTGGGTTTCCTCACACTCTTTCAGCTCTATCGTTTCTACGGGCGGAGGAAGCAGTGCAAACAATCCTCCTCCACTTCCGGTGAAGTCGTTGACTATGTCCAGTCCGGCGGGCCGTCCACAGAGGAGAAAAACAGTGGAAGTCTTTTCGCACACTGAAGATGGGGTAAATATGCATAAGGGGAATGCTTGTAGAAACAAAAAGAATATAAGTAGCATGCAATACTGTAGTTTGATCGTTCGGGTGAGTGCAGTCCTGGACTGTTGTCGGTAGTGGTGACTGACGTTTCGACAATCTGAGCGGAAGTCATCATCAGAGTCAAGTGAATAGTTGTTGTCAGTCGAACGTTCTAAGTCCGGTTTGTATAAACTGATTGGTCAGTTTTGCCGTGATGTAATTGGCTGTAAGACACGAGTGGCGTAGGTCGGTCGTGATTGGTCGGTCTCGATCCGTTAGTAAAGTTAGGTCGTTCTGTTCGGTTCGTTTTTAATGGTAATGTCGTGAATGAGTCGTTTGTATGGTGCCGGTAGTGGTTGACACCTGTTGAAGGGAGTCTGTGCAAGACTTAAATTCGGGACTGGAGAACAACACAAGTTAAAATGCTATGCAAGAATTTCACTTAAAATAGGACTCGGTCTACCGCATGGATGTTAAAAAACAAGTTCATGTTATTTTGCCATAATTTTGTGTCTATAAAACAGCAGAAAAGGTTTCCAGTGTTTCTTGATAGTACGTTATACATGACTTTCAGAGAGTTTTCTTTTCTTTCCACATGAACGTTGTTCTAATCAGTAACTTCGTGAATTATTGTTTCTCACGCAAACTGTTTCCAACGTTTGTGAATCTTCTTGTGCGGATCTATTGGTAGGTCGTTCCCGTTATACCGGCTATCTTAGTAGTACTTCTAACGTACTTTCAAACCCTTTATATTACATTAAAAACAGTGTGTATGTGAATGTGATCAATCTAATTAAGGCTTCAAGCAATTCTTGACTGAGTGATGAAAACAAATTTCTTCTATTCCAGTTTAAGAACACAGCAAGTCCTTTGTCAGAAATCGCTCCACCCAAACCCCCTCGACCATCTCCACAGGCACACCAACCGGCTCCGGAACTGCCACAGAAAACTATTATGCGGAAGAAGTCTGCTGACGTGCATCAGCGCTCCAGCACTGAATCCAGTGGATCTGATGGTACTGAGCAGGCAGAGCAGGTAATCACTGACAGATGTCAATCAGCTACTTGTTCGGTCCGTATCTAATCAGACGTTTTCTATGTTAGTGCCCAGAAGTAAATTTGTGTAAGCCAAAGGATGATTTGTTTCTTGCAAGACAACGTAAATAGTCTCGCACCGATTTCGCTGCCGAGCGTTGTACGATATGGAATCCTTCTGTAGTGTCTTAGGCTGCCCAGCCAGTAAGAGATTGTCCTCTAAGAACAAAGGGGGAGTTGACCCATTTTGTTGAAGTGCTGGATGGTTCGAAGTACTTTCACGTTACAAAGAGCGACAAATTTCCAAAGAACAAACTCGCAGTTGTCTTTTTTCAGGTCTTATCTCAACTACTAGTTCAGTAGTGTTTATAGTTGCGAGGATCTCTTGTATTCGTTTCTTTACCGCAGTGCAAGTATATTATTATTTTCATAGATCTACAATCATTATTCGCAGTTGTCTGTTTAATCCAGACGATTTTGTTCTGTTCAGCATCATCTCTGTCATCATCATCATCATTGTTTTAACAAATTTAAATATTTTATTCTGATTTTAACTTATTCGTCTGAACCTGGGGACCTTATGCAGCAGCCGCGAGAGAGCACCACCCTTTAAACATTGAGTGGTTCTTTTACGCCAAGGACTAAAGCAGTTGCCGACTGCGATGAAATACGTTTCGTACTTGTTTACATTAATTAGTTTACTTGTTTACGCTAATCTCGTCGTGTAGTGTTTCCAGTGATCACTTGTAATTGCTATGTCCTACCTTCTTTTCTAGTCTCCAGCCCTTCCGCCGCGCACGTCCACGATTTTAAAGGTAAAAGGGTCGCCACCAGTTCCCCCGAAGGTTCAGAAGAATCGATGAGCACATAAGCTTATGTGACGACCAGTCAACGGACCGATATGGTGAAAAATTCCTTTGTGGAAAGCTGAATTTTGAAGTCTATACTTTTCTGTTATTGATCCTCATGGAATGTCTGCTACGCCTTATGGCTATTTTTCTAACCATGAATTTTTTATGAAGTCATAAAAATGTTTTGTTATTTGTGAAATATTTCGTAGAAGTTGATGAAATTTTTGTAATCTGTAAAAACATACATTACTGTATTCCGATTAGTATTTTTTTACCAGTATAACATTTCAGAGATGTTCTAAAGTACATAACTTTTGTTGAGTTTGTGACATTCTGCTTTGTGTCAGTGTGTCGCGAAAAAATACAAATATTTTTTACGAAATGAAAATATGGCACCTAGGCCGGTAGAGAGCCAGTCAACAATCATCTCTGACATTTGTCTAAATAACGTCTAAGCGCTTTGTAAGAGTGTTGTTGCTGTTGCCTTGTAATCTGTTATTTTTTTAGAAAGAATAAACCAAATATTATTCCTGTTAAATTAAGATTCTTGACCAGCAGTATTAGTTACTTACATTTGTCTTAACTCTGATTGGCTAGATTCTTAAATCTTAACTCTCTTTTCGATAAACGTGATAGAACTTGCCTCATCTTCCAAAGCTGAATGACAAATATTAGATTGCTAAGGTTGTTTTTCAACCAAAATATGTATCTGCAAAGAGAAAGACAAACAAAAAGACGTATTGAAATAATTGTATTTTTTGTAAACATGGGGAGCCTTTGAGATTTCTTGGTGGTAACATTTGTATAAAGGAAACAGAAATTATGATTGAAAAAAAGTTTGTATGTGATTTTACTTTAAACAGTGATGCATGTCACAAAGCGCTTACTTGGTCCTACTCGTGTGACACTTGCAGCTGTTCACATGAGGGTGACGTAAGTACTATATATATAAAGTTGCGCCTAGGGCCGCTGAGGTCTCGCGGACTGATATTTGTTGTCAAAGCCAGTTCGTCGTCATAAGTTATTTATCAAGCTGGCTGTCAAACTAGAATAACGACATATTACATAGCCTATTTTACATATAATTACAGCCGGAATTATACGCAGAGATCGAAAAAGGGTCATTTATCTTGTAAGATCTAGATTGAACTGCCATTTCTTTCTATCGTAACAATCAGTAAACGATATCATCTCATTCCTGTTAGCAGTGGTCTAATGAAATTAAACTTTTGGAGGCGTTGAAGTTTGTCGCATTTTTTGTAGCGATTAATTAGCCATTCAGTATTTCCAGAAACAAGCCATCTCATTACATCCCTAAGCCACAGAAGTAATTGACCAGTTGGAAGGTTTCTTTCATGGAAAAAAATCAAAAGGACAAAAAGCTGTTATCAAGTTTAAGACGGATCGAAGAGAAGTCGACGCCTCGCAAAACTGAACGGCTGGCTGTGTCGAGAAAAATTTTCACTTTATTTTGGTTTTTGGCATTTTAATTCAGTTCAACATTCTACGTTACTTAGCATACATTAGCTAATACAGCCAAAAATTTAATTTACGGTGTTCAATTGTGAACGGCTAAAGGAAAATGTGTTTAGCGGGACGAAAGCTTGTATTTAAGAAAAAAACTAAACCTCGAACTTTTCTCAAATCAGAGGTACTGCGCCGGAAAAATTTGACTAGCAATTTGCGAGACAATCAATCGGCCACCCTTGTTAAAATGCTGATTGCCGTTCGCTACAACAACCTAAAGTCACTTTTGTTTAAAATAATTCTGTTCCGTTTGATTGACTGCTTTCGTAATTGGCGCCCTGTCAAGACGCACCTGGTACGCAAATCCCTCTGCCAATCATTGGCCATGTTTTGATGTCATTATGTGTTTCTCGTACAATCGCCCGCTCGAGTCCTTAAGAAATTTACATATAATATAGCTTGCAGCAAATAAAAGTTTTAAAAGCTCAGCGCAACGACGCCCAGTGTCAGAAATGTGCTCACACTTCACTGCACGTGTCTGTTAGTTTATTCATTTCGCTAGTAACGGACATTTTGCCGAGCGCATCGCAAGGTAAAGCTTAGCTGACAAAAGTGTCGATAAGCGATGTGCAACATGAACCGGTGCGTTGTGGTTTTCCTTACAATCACTGCGTTTCTCGTCTTCGCTGGGGCGGCTGTTTTCTTCTACTTTGGCCAGTACGCAGAGGAAAGCATTCTAGATTTCTACGTTTACAATCGCACGTTACAGATCTTTCAAAGGTATCCCGTGGAAATAACCCCCGCAGAATGGACTTTTTGGACATGGAGTGCTGTCCTTGGATGGCAGCTCCTTTGGCTGTTCTATGCGCTTATTTTGATGTGTCGGCAGTATGGCCCTAAGGTCTTGACTCCATTCTTCTTCGTGTTTACCCTGCTAGCGTTCGGCTTTACTCTTGGATGGGTCATGATGTGGGGTGAAGATCTCATTCATATTGCTCTGGGATTCATTGGTGGCACAGCCGCGTCATTGTTCGTGGCTTTAGCAATCGTCTACAATCGATTTAACAACCTCCGTGACGGGATGAAAAAATTTCCAACAGGCGACCAGATCGCGATGGAAGTGCTTGTCATTAACGGAATAGGCCTGTACGCGTCTTGGGCGCTGTACAACTCCTTCCAACAAACCGCAATTGTGTTGAAGTACACAGCTGAAGTGGATGATGAGATTGCCTGCACTATGGTCCTCGCTGGACTCGGCTCGACGATTCTCTTTTGGTTTTGTTTGGATAATTTTGTGTTCTGGAAGTTCACATTATACACCGTTACGCCCTACACACCAATGATTGTCGGCTTCACGGGAACTTTCATGGAGTTCTGGGACAAAGACAAGCGGAATTCGATCTTCAATGCCGCCCTACTAGGAACTACGTCGTTGTTTTTACTGCTAAAAATCGTGCATATCATATGGAGGAGCCGAAGAGATAGCAAGAAAAGTCGACGACATGTTCTCACCGACGAAGAGGAGTTTAAGCTGTAAGAGTTTTTCCCACGGACGTGCAGGTGGGGCGAAATTTCTCGATACAGCCGTGCAAGAGAAATCGCCTATTGTGCCAGAATACAGTGAGCGAGAAAGAAAAACTGACTTAGTATACAAAACAGACTGCGTGAAGACTCATTTACTGAGTGAATTGGACTTTTCTTCATTTCGTTTACCACAAGACGAAAGAATAAAGCAATCTTTTTAGTCGTTTAATTGTTAATTCGACGATTACGTCCCATGGGCCATCAAATGCTCAAAATTTCGACATCTTTTTTTTTTTATTTTAAGCATGGTGCGCTGAAGAAACTGTCAAGATGTTGAAGACGAATGTTGAAACGAATCGAAAGTACCGCTAAATATTTTGACCCGTCGATTTCTCCGGGTTGTCTGCTATTCGTTTGTTAGGATTGTATTGAAATGGCGATCTAATAAACGCTTTTCGTTTACGTAGCGAGTATTTTGCGTCCAAGTTACGCTAGAATGCGCTTATGTAAATGTCCTAAAGTATATTATAAAATGTAAATACGTGATAGAGAAGGATCTAAACATTTCTGGTAAATCCACTCCCATAGTCACAGGATTTAAATAATTGCATATGAATGGAATGATATGATTGTAAATGAGAATAACAAATCGAGCCGCCCTCGGCTTTTACGCTTATCGAGTTAAAACTGACCTTACTAATGCAGTGAATTCTTCTCAAATGAATGCTTCAAGAATTGTGTCATTAAAAGTAACCGCTAGAAGACGAATCTATTTATTTGTTCGTCAAGTACTGTGTGTGTATTCAAATTTTAGGATTTAAAAACACCCTTTTACCGCTTTCGATAGCAGCATGAAAACTAAGCCAAGAAATGAACTAGTTTAAATAACATGGCTTTTCTTAAGTTAAATCCCTCTACGGCGTTTGCAGGGTGTGGTGAGAAACAGAACTCATCTACATTAAAATTTATTTTGCTGGTGGAAACCCACCAAAACCATCTGCACGTTAGAAATTATTCCCAGTCTTCCGCTGTGAAGATATTGGATCGACGACACCTCTCTGACGAGAACCCACACCTGGGAGTCTTGCGCCATCGCACGAATTATCACGCGCGCGTTTTAGGCATCCCGCGTGTCGTGGAAATAAAATTATACTAAGATTAGACAGCAAACACTTAAGATAAATTTTGTCAAGAGTTAAATCCTTCAAAGAGACTTAGGCGGTGTAAGAAGTATGCCTCGATGCACCTCAAGAAAACATGGCGGCGATTGTCGAAAAATTAAACAGTTAAATTAAAATAATAATTTACGGTCTGCCGAGTTAATAACATGTTACCGAACAAGCTGTCAGCTGGAAATGAGTCTTCCCGAACTATCTTATCGATGAGATGAATCGCAGCGATATTATTATCTCTACTTGGTGCTGTAGTGATCCAAACTCGCGTTAATCCAGGCCAATCAAAGAATTATCGAACAAATGAGGTATCTCGTGGGATATCGATGTTGAATTAAGCGTTCTAAATAAGTTTAAATGCTGCTTTACGTATTCGCTGAGTGAACAGATCATTTCTGGTCGAAGTTGCTGGGAGCGATAATGGAACAATAGGTTAAGAAATAATGGTAGATAAGGAAAAAAAATCAAGTGATCTATTGTATCTGTGACGTAGAACGAAGAAAAAACTCATTCAAGAAGATTGTTTGACATTGTTTGAGGCTGAAAAACTGCCAATTAAAGCACTACCCTGTACGTGTGATTCAAAACTGTTTTATGTAGACGCAGACGAATAATTTATATTCGAAAGAGGTGCTAAATGAAATTAAATAATTTCATACTACTCCTGTCTATCTTTTACAATCAATGAAGTTTATACATTGCAGAAATTTTTCGGTTGACCTTTCATACTCAAAAAAATGAATATTTTTTTGAAAAATCCGAGGAATTTCGCAAAATAAATTATTTGGAGTACAGTGTATGATTGTCACTTCTATTTAAGAAAATAAATTCCATTCGATATATGCAGATGTGAAAAATGTTTCAGGCCTAATTAGCTCTTTCTTGTAGTAATAATTATTTCATCCGTGCCACCATGAAATAGTGTTTGCCAGTCCGGGGGTAGGTACCCCCTCTACATGTCGTTGAGATCTATACCGTGCCGAATGGTACGGTTTTGAGCACGTTTAGTTGAAAAGGATGTAGGTGATGTCGCTCCCATACACGGTCGCCCCACGTTTCGTCGCCCCGATGAATGGCTGCGTCACCCCCAACTTCACCCGGCGACGAAATTAGGAGCGTCTGTGCAAGAAGACAACGACGACTGTTACCTCTGAAAAGGGTTGTAGATTTTTACCATTTTGATCTTAAATTGGGTATGATTTTCAAGGCTACCACATCAGTGTAAAAATTGTATGTTTTTCTAATTTCAAGTGTATACCATATAAGAGAGAATGGAACAAAATATCATTTGAGCTGAGTTTTAGGGATAATTTACCAATTCGTGACTTCGGCAACGAAGCGAAGCTCAAATCCCAATATTTGTGGATTTGCAAGCCGAATACAACTATCAGAAGGTAAGTATGAAAACAGATGTGAAAGAGGCATATCAAAGTCTAAATTAAGGTCAAAATTTGGAGAAAGGACCGTGCACCCCCTCCAAGAATACAGACGAGTATCATTCACCAGACAACTTCACAGTTGTTATGCAGACTAGTTACATCCCCCAGTTTACACTTTACAATCTTTCCTTTTAAAAAACCACAACAAACCATCAAATTTTCCAGGCCATTAGAGTCTGGAGTCAAATGACTAGTCACTTCACAACTTATTTTAATTGTTATTATGGCAGCCATTCATGTATCAGAATTCAGAGGAAATATTTATGCAAGGTACTGGTGGACATATCTTGTTTTCCACTTGAGTTTATTCTATGCATCATGCATAAGCAACACAGTACAAAGTCTTACATAAAAGAGACTTTTATGACCAGTTTTGCAAAAGCACCAAAGTGATGGTAAAGCCCTATGCAGTTAGTTATTACACCAGCTAAAAAACACCTTGCGGGAGAGCAAATTCCCACCCTAAATAACCCAAATACATCAACTTTACCCATATTTTCTCTGATGTCTAAGTGTATAATCTGCTTTCCAGTTCAAGGCATTTTTTTACCATAAGATTGCTGACTGGAAAGTGCCTATTCATCTGTGGTAAATCATTCTTTCATAATTGGGTAAATGATACAAAATTGACAAAAAAATAACAACCTCACTCATCAAATCTACATACCAATTATTATTGTGATTGTGTGGTTTCACTACAAAATAAACCTCAAAATAACTAGACAAAAGACTTGAAAATGTCCTACACCTAAGACAACTAGTGTATGAATGGGAAAAGTACCACATTGTTTCAGCCTAGCAACAAAATGCATCCAGTCAACAATATCATACAAATGGGAAATGACTTTGGATTTCTCATTTCATTTAATACATGGGCCCTGGCTTTTCCTAGCTTTGCGATAGTTACCACTGACAAACAAATCTGTCACATGCAGTTGAGAGGGTTTTAGATACCACATGTATACATCAGTGGTGCAACATTTTCACCAATGCTTTTTGACCCAGTCAGTTCTTAAGAAGAAATGACTTCTTACATTTAATAAAGCTGTAAGACTAGTTAAGAGGACTGACTGGGCTTTGAGCTCTGGATTTAACCTCCCCCCCCCCCCCCCCCACAAAATGCATATTTGAGAAGATTATAATGGAAGTGGCAAGCTCTTCACTTCTGAAAAACACTCTTTGTAGTTGTCCTCAAAGTCTTCATGGGACTTGACCAATACTATACTTGTGGGTCGTTTGGTTTGACTTGCAGCTCCAAGGTCCTGCAAATAAACAAATTCAGTATCACTGATGGAGTCATCAGACTGTCACATCTCTCATATCTCTGTGTCATGAAGCAACTGTAGAGTTCCCTTAAAAAAAAACACTAGTTAGTAACTGTTGATACAGTTTGGGTTTGAACACCTGGACTGGTGTAGCTGGAGCAATATTCCAGGTGCATTCCACAACCCCAAGGGGCATAGCCCTGGGGAACCTACACAAGCCCACCAAAGCACACATACAGTAAGGTACTCTAAAGGTTTTGCTCATGAACACAACACCATCACCTAACTGAAGGTCAAGCCAAGGGTTTCAGTAAAAGCCATTTGTTGGTGATCTAACATTACCTATAACACCTCTTATCACTGTCTTTTTAGCCAGTGAGCAGGTTCTTGTGTTTGGGTTCTGCCTTACAGCTCCTTTTCCAATAGCCTACAGAGCAGGTGTAATTTTAGCAAGCAAGTGTTCACTTTTCTCTTAATGAAAATTATGGCTACCATCTTTGATTTCAATGGCAGTGGTAGGCAAATCAAACATGGCTGGTCAGATGAATGATCGCAAGCTTATAACTTTAGCTTGCCTTAATAAGACGCCTGCACTGCAGGCTACTTTTCTGAATCCAGCTGCCTATCACACTATCTGCAGCTGCTTATGGAAAAAGTTATTCAAACCTTTGTCAAACTCACACCCTATAATCTGAAGTCCCCTGCACCAAATACTAGCCCTGAACAACTTCTGCCCCCAATTATTAGCTGATTTTTACCCCACTACTTGCATTCTCAAAATCTTAGTCTATTTCTAAAGGTTCTTGTAAAGGGCTAAAATAATTGTCAATCAGTTACTTATCTGTTTAGGAATTAAACTACGAAATACTGTTGTAATAGTGTAAAAATTAAGTTCATCCATAAAGAAGAAAAAGCAGAATTACTCACCAATCTTGATGGTACATAAGCATATGGTATTTTGTTGTCCTCACAGACAATGGGAATATGGGATATGACATCGATTGGGGAGACATCACCAGCTATGACAACAAACCTTAAAGAAAAAGATTGCCACCATACAGATATCACTTTCACACACAAAAACATGTTTCACTGTCTACTGTACTTAACGATTTGTTGAGCTTATTAGAGTCTCAGCAGATCATATGAACCATTTACCAAAACAGTAATTGTTCATGATTATCAGATTTCTCACCCTTTCTCGCCTTTTCGTAAGGCTTTTGCTACTTCTTTGACTCCTCTCCTCAAACTCTTCGCTTTGGATGCTAGAGAGAAGAAAAAAACACACTTTACATGAAGGTATCTGTACCAAACAATTAACAATCCTGTTGGGTACCGTAACTTTTTAACAAAGAAATGAACGGTATATCCTTTAGAAGCTAAAGAAAAATTTTAGAAAGCCCTGATCAAACTTTTATCGCTGGATCTCAGTCAAATCGCAATCGAAACCTATGCCATCAAGCCATACAGATAAACACCACGCTTACCTTTCTTGACAGTTTTGTACAATCGTTTTGTAAGTTTTCTGCTTGCGAGGGGCTTTGCAATCACACATACTCTTTTCACAAGTTCTTCATAGTCCATAGTAGGTTCATCAATCCTCGAATCGTCCTTTGTTTCATCTGCTTCGCCGTTTTCTGCGTCCTTCTTCTTGTCCTTCGATCTCGCCATGTTGTCTCTATTGCACGTGGGAAACGTTGCTGGGTCTGGGGCGAGTACAGTTTCAGGGCAATCCGCTGAACAACTGTTTTCAGTTTTAGCCCGTTCCCGTCGTCTGTTTGTTTCCAATTTCTGTGTTTTTTGTTTTTGTTTTTTTTCGAATTCCTCGCACTTGGATGGTTTAAACTGTCGGTAGCCATGTTCACCTTTGATTTTGTATGTTTACTGATGAGAAACGATGATTCAAGTACCCAGTATTTGATTCGGGTGGCCAAGAACAGCTGAAACAATCATGAAGATGTAAACAGCTTCGTTTGTTTTCGAGCCGGAGGAGAATAAAAGGTACAGTAAGTTTACCTCTTACATAACCTAAACCCTAACGGTACTAAATTGTGTATTTAAACCAATTTAATTTTTGGCTGAGAGGTCAGAGGAGCCGTCACACAACACTGCGTGACAGCTAATTGTGAAAGCTTAGTGTGATTATTGTTGAGGTCTTTGAAAATGTGCGATTGAGGCTGCATTGAATTGCGATACATGTGAATGATTTGGACTTTCCTCCCTCCCTATTTTGTGGCATATTTTCACATCCAACAGGAAAAAAAATTATAATATAAACTACGGTGTTGTACAAGGATTTCCAGCCCCGAGAAAAGCCGTAATGATACGATATTTCTTCACGTGTGTTTGATATCACCAATCAGCTGCTGAACGTCACTCGCCTTTCGCGCCACTCGGTCAGGCTGATGAATGAACGGCAAAACCTTCACCATTCTTAATCCAAGGTAGTTTGTCGAAATCTTCTCAAATTATGGCCGCTAAAACACTGAAAAATCAGTTCGTGTACAGACAGTGACATTCAAACTTTCCTACGAGGTGAAGAAAACCAATATACGAAAAGAAAAACCGAAAATTACGTATTCGGTGGCTTTGGTAATGGCATTTCTCGCGGCTGAGAACGAAAATCGACATCTGGAAGATTTGCCACAGGCCGATTTGGCCGTTTACCTGGAAGATTTCTTCTGTCAGTAAGGACAAAGTCAATGAATGAGAATTTTGCAAATTGAAAATTACGCCCATTGTTGTTTTTGTTATTATGATTCAACGCATTTTTTCCATCTTGAGCCTTAGCGCCTACGCACTGTCCGATTTTTGTTCGGGAATTGTCGATCCATTTATTTTCATTCATTAATAAAGTTGGCTTTTTTGTCAGTAAATATAAACATAATATCACATGGTTGCTCGTAGATATGCAATTTCTCTTTTCGTGTTCAACTCGACATCTCACTCGTTCGCTGTGCTCACTCATGAGCTATTGAGTTAAACACTCGGAGAGAAATTCCATATCTACGCGCGCCCATGTATTATTCTCTGTATAACAGCACTTGCTGAAAACTCGTGGTGGGGTTAGAGTGGTTTCATAGGGGAACATCAAGTTCAAAATCCTTGGAGAGAATTCAAGGCTTTGAAAAGCTAGGCCTCCACAGCTTCTTTTTCTACTGCAAGTGTAGAGAGGCACTCTGAGAAGGAAGTGTTTTGCCCAAGAACACAACACAATGACCAGGCCAGATCTCAAACTCATGCCTCTCCACCCAGGGTCCAGTGCACTAAACACTGGGCTACTGTTTCTCCCGTATTGCAAGAGATATCAGTGACATATTTCTTGATGATTGGATGTTACATTTTGCAATTGCATTTTGCAGCAGGACCAATACATGATGGAACTGGCTGGATATTTTAAAATGTGTTACATCAACTGCAAAAAAGGTAACTTTTCACATTTCTAATACCACAAAGTCTTTCTTAAGAGAAAAAATGTGTACCTGATTTTCACCTTAGTAGAGAGTTTGGCTGGTTCTCAACAGGTACATATTAAAGCAACAAACCCTTTTTCCCTCTTAATGACTTTGTACTTCTTAAAGTTTCTTCTGGAAATTCTCTGATTAATCCACTTAACTACACTTACACTGACACGAAACATTGAAATTATTAACAGTGGGATCTTGTTGTAGTAAACCATCACATCCTCTTAACAACCCTGCAAGGAATATATGGCAGTCCAGAGGAAAACTAGTAGACAGATCTTAAAACTGGATGGGTTTTTACTGTGTATGAAATAGTATTTGGTGACATTTTACCAAACCGAATGACTCAAGGAGGGTTTTTTGCTTGCATGTCTGAAGAGCAGAATTTAGTTAATAGTTAGTGGGTATGACATCACTATTCATGTATGTGGCCAATTACTTTTGGAGCTTATCCAGTTTCCAAGGTTTAGCGCCCTAATCATTAAACCACAGCATCTCCCAGTACTGTAAGGTTGCTTGGACCAGTACCGTTGACATTCTGATTATTTTAAAAAGGTGGCAATGATTCTGTTTGTTTAAACCATGATAACCGAATATGACTTCAAAATGATTTTCATGTCACATTTGTATGTCTTTTATAATCTGTAAGTGATACACGGTGGAATCATGGAATCTTGTGCATGTTGGGAATGATAATTCAAATATTTCTCCTCATGATCCTGTTTTTATGTCTTTCCTCATATAATCATGGATGAAAACCAATCATGATCTGTGTAGAACTCATTGTGTTATTTGAAACGTGGCTGAATTGCTTTAGAGGAGGACCGCATTTTAAAGATACTGACTAACCCCTGGGTAACAAACACACTCTGATAAGGGAAAAAACCTGACCACATATCATATAGGGGAATATCTGGTCATTATGACCTTGGAATTTGTCTTGCTAAATGTTACTGATTTGGTGCACCAAGGCGGGCTTTAAAAACTAAGGCTGTGAAGGGATTTTTAAGCAAGCAGCTGCAAGGCATATGCGTGGTACAGTTATCGCAATATTGCTCAATTGTGCATGTCAATTCAAAAAATAACTCTTTATTATATAGCCCTCTTATTCACGAGTACATTACTCCCAGCGAGTCGATCCATAATTTGAATCACGTAAGAGTTATTGAACCTCTCCTCAGCACATTTCCACACATGTTCCTTGGATGAAGTTATTTTAAACGACGTTATGGTTACTTTTGTAAACTAATGTTCATCTATAAAATATCATTCTGGAATGATTGAAGTGAAAGTTCTTTGTGTAATCGTAGTCATCTGTGTTTTGTCAAGTGTTGACAAAGTTTGTTGTGTGATGTGACAGTGTAGCTGTTTGATTGGTTAAGTATGTCAAGTTAGAAGAAGCTGCCAATGTAGCTTTTTACTGTGTCTTCTCCTTCTTTGGGACATCTGCTGTCTTCTCTTCGGTCTTCTTCTCTACTGGCTTCTTGTCATCTTTCTTTTCATCGTCGTCATCGTCATCATCGTCATCGTCGTCGTCATCATCGTCATCGTCATCATCATCGTCGGCTTTCTTGGTGGCATCCTCCTTTTTTTCTTCCTTCTTTTCCTCCTTCTCGGGCTTCTCGTCCTCCTTCTTGACTTCCTTTTTCTTTTCGTCGTCCTTCTTTCCTCCCTCGCTGCTGTCCTCGCTGTCTTCCTCATCCTCCTCGTCTTCACCATCATCTCCATCATCACTATCATCTCCATCATCTTCATCGTCTTCATCATCTTCATCATCTTCATCATCTTCGTCATCCTCATCATCCAGATCATCAGTTAGTTCATCTTCATCTTCATCGTCTTTCTTATCGTCCTTTTCGATCTCCTTGTCCTCTTTATCAGCTTTCTTGTCCTCCTCCTTATCGGCATCTTTCTCTTCAGTTTCTTTATCGTTCACCTTCTCGTCTTCCTTCTCAGGAGCATCGGGGTTGTCCTCCTTGGCTTCATCGTTCTCTTTGGGGATTTCGTCCCTCTTCTCTTCATCCATATCATCTCCCTCGCTGCTGTCCTCACCGTCATCCTCGTCGTCTTCATCGTCGGAGTCGTCGGCATCATCTGCAACATCGTCATCGAAATCACCAGTGTCGTCCTCCTTTTCTTCTTTCTTTTCCTCTGCCTCTGCGATTTAGAGAGGTAAACGTGAGGAATTCTCATTTTGTACACGCACAGTAATTGTAACACTTATTGCATTGTATGTTACATCTATTTGATTAAATTACCATCAGTTTTGTATAGTGTCAGAGAAACCGTATTTTGAGAAGGTTCAGGTAGCTATCTGTTTAAATGGCCAATCTCAATTTCACCGGCTTCCACCTCCGAATGAAATTCGTCTTTTAATTTGTTGTTGATATTCCTCTATGAAGAGTCTTCTATCCCTGCCACTTCAGGCAAGCCTTTCTTTTTTTCACTTCCGTTCTCTCTCCCCATTGTCGTAGCTACAATCTTTGTAACTATTTTAATTTCATTTATGGATGTTGGCAAACCTGAGATTGAAAAGTTTTTAAATCACGAGCCAGAGGCTCGTGACTTACAAAATTTTCGAAATGTTTTTAAATCCTATCCTAGAAAAAAACGTCAAACAGTATTTGGAAAATTGTTGTGTTCGGTTGCATAGGGCAATGCAAATAAAATGAATTTCCTATGATAACAATGACGAAGCAATCTTCCGATTCAAAAGCTGGGTCGTAAGGCCAATGCTTCGTAAATGTAGTTGAGAACTTTGACAAATGCTTATTGCGTAAAGGGGGATCCAATTTGCCTTCGATATTTGCTCTTTATGATTGGAATTTGATAATTTAAAACGTCGACGTGAAGGCATGGACGCAGAGTTTTTGTTTATACCAGTTTGTTGTACGATTGTGTAACTGTGTCAAGTGACCTGTTGAACGAGTGATATGCTTGTTGTAAACTTTTTAGCGGGGAACCTACTTAACCATTCAAGTACTTCTTCTCAACCTGTTGTGATATCGTAAACACGAGTCTTTAAAAGGAACGCTGGCGTTAAAAACGCAGTGTTTAGAAATAAACAATAGTTTTGATCGGGTATTGAGTACCAAGATGTGTAATATGGTTGAAGGTCACCAAATGTCTTCCCTAACCTTGGGTAGAAAATTAACATTAGTGGCCTGTTCTCTATCTTGCACAGCCTGAACATGGTTTGGAAATTAACGAAAACTTCCGTAGTTATGATTAAATAGTGCAACGGAAATAAATGTTGCGGTATTTCCTTAAAGGTCAAGTGGTAAAGATGTAAGGCCTAATGTTCAAACCTCACTTTTTCTACTTGTTCTTACTCACAACGGATTATCAACCGAAAGTGATTAGGATCAGTTTTCAAGTTACTGTTTTTAAAAATGATACAAACGAAAAACTATTCCTGTGATTGTCGTAATCATAACTACGTTTTAACTTCGGGTGGGAATTTGATATGAAAAATTATCGACAAAAATCTCCTGTTATTATTCAAATAAAAGTAACGGTTCAAAAGCAGCAATTTCTAATATTTCTTGCTTCCCGTAAATTGATGTCAATAAAACGTCCTTCACTGACTTTGTTAAAGCTGCTATCGTGTTCTCTGATGTATGAAACATTTAAGAACTAGCAACTAACTTGTCTATAATGGAATCTTTTCAAGCATCGGCAATGAAATTTACTAATTAACCATTGGAAGGCGTCAGCGTCAATGAATCAGAGTTAAGAACACTAAAGAGTTTTTATCTCGTCATTAAGATTAAAGAAACTTGGTGAGACGACTTTATAAGGTTTCTTTACCTGGGGCTGGAGCTCCCTGTGACATAACGATGCCAAAGAGAAGGCACAACAGAACAACGTACTTCATTTTGTTGGATAGGTAATTGTCTTCGGACTCGTAGATCTACCAAGAGAAAACAAACGTTAATGCAATTTGCAAAGTTATTCCCTTCTCATGATGCATTTTTTATCAACGCACCTCATTATCAATCAAGTTGGATTTATAGAAAATGTGTTAGTATTCCAGACAGAATTTATGATGAGAGATGATGTTGAAGGACTCTTAAGAAGTGGCTCAAACTTAAGAGGAACGTTCGCTCGTCAACAGCTTGAATTAATTGTGCGATATGCTTATTTCGTTTACTTTTGTTAGGTGCGAAGAGACGTGTCAGTTTTCTCCAACTTTTAATAACTTGTTACACCTACAAGGCAAAACCTCAATCCATTAAACGAATTAAAGATCTTTTCATATTTGTCAGTGAATCGTTTTTGAAACACAAGAACAGAATTTCAGTCCTTAGATTTTCAAGGTGACCCTCCATGATCAAACTTGCATTTGTGTCATAAGAAGATAAAGAAGATAAAACGAATGAATTGACAAACTATGAATAACTAGAATCCCCTTGTCTAACTTCATCTTGCAGGATCTTTAGTCTGTTAGAAATTATAAGCAAGTAGCCCTAAAGGAATGAAAGTGACCCTAACTAACCTTTACTTGGAAGTCTTGCTGGCGGCTTCTTGTCTGGTCAAGAACTTTGGTTGAATGGACCACTGATGATCTAAGCTATTTTAGAGATGTCCCATGATTAACTATTTACAAGTGACGGTAGCGGGGATTACGTTCCGTGTTAGCTAGTTCATTACAGGTTGTTTACCTTATGCATTCAACAACACGAAAATGCGTCTTCATGGCATGTGGTCGCACGCGAGTCGATGATTGGTCAAGTAACAAGTTTACATGACCAATTGTCCAATCAGAGCCAATCGTATAGAGAATGTTAACAAAATAGTATCTTCATTTTGTTTTGAAACAACTTTCACTGTTTTGCTTTACATCATGGTTGTACCCGCAAATTGTTGACATACTTGAGCTGGTTGTCCTGGTCTTGTCGCCCAATCATTTGACTTAAAGCTCTCCTGATCTGTAGTTTTTACAAACAATTCTCCAAGAACCTCTTGGTAAAGTCCACGTTGTGAAAAAGCCAGTCTGTCATTTTTTGTCATCATTAATTTTCCTTCTTCATTTCACTTTAGAATTCTTGGTTAATTCTCTGCTTTTGCATGGTTTTGCATTATTCTTAATTTCCTTTTCGTATCAAGCGACTTTCAAGATTCAGTGGATCAGTTTCAGATTTATCTCATATTATACAAAAGTTTAATATTAATAGTGTTCTGGAAGATGAGATGACTTCAGAAAGCTTTCTGCGTGCTCGTTCGTATTTAGATCATTTAAAGTTTTGTTTGCTAATAACACACCTTCGTATAAGAAAATGGGTCGAGAAACTGTATTCAGTTAAATGACATTGTCTTTCAGGAAAGCCAGATCCAAAAACAGGTCTTCTAGCTTGAAGGAAGTCACCTGACTGATAGTAGAGTTTTTAATTTTGCCACAGTGAATTTAAGACCTAATGTTTAACATTACCTTACATTCCTAATTTCCTTTATTGACTTTTATGTCATGCATTTCATACGTTGGATCGGAAATTGCTAAAAGGACCCAAAAATGCGAGCTTACGCGGTAAATGTTTCTTGACTCGCTCCATTAATACGCTTTTGGGAAACTGGGAGGTTTTGGTATTCATTCCGCAGTAGTCTTTTTTTTTTTGTCCTCGGCCATTCTCCTTCTATCATATATAATTATCAATCTACAATAATTTCATGGACATACTTATAATGTCTCTATAACTGGCGGTCGTTGATTGAAACCTGTGGCATCCGCTTTGCGTAAAAGAATTTGACGTACAAAAACAACGAGAAAGTATGGTTGACTTTGCGTGTCATTCTTTGGCTCAAGAAGCTCTAAGAGTGCTTACTTACACTGTGGTGGAGAGAGTTTAGGTACTGATGATCTTTAAGGGCCTAGGGCCGGTTTGTCGAATTACCCAGTGACTTTATAGACACCTTACGGCCCGAAAAGCTCATTTTCGCTTGCAGTGTTTCATTCAAGATCGAGATGTTGACTTTTTAAAAATTGGAACATTAAATTAAAATATCAAGAAAGGAAACAGAAGGAATTTATTTCTTTATTTTAATCATTATTTATACAAGGTAAAAAAATTCATTAAGTACAAAAAAATTCCAATACAATGACTGAACAAATGGCAATTTCAACTCAATCTTCTCATGCGCTTTGCGACTGCCCACCTATCTTCACGATCACATATTCAGTAATAGTGATAATTAATACGATAATGTCGTACTCTTCTTTCTAAGCTCCTTTGATATATACAAAAGTGAGCAATCGGCTCATTAAACACGTTTTCCTGATATTGCACAGAAGCTTGTTCATGCAGAGCAGAAACATAAACGGAAAATATTCACGCGCGTCATTGTGAAAGAAGTTCACACTGCATCCTAATGGACTCAAAATATCTATTAAGTTTGAGTTAACAATACGTACTGCCGGCAACCATATAATAGATACCGCATTCATACATCCATTGTCAGGTGAGTCTTTGTGGCACGGTTTGATATAGAGCTGGTAAAGCTTTATACGTCTTAAGTTCTCACCGACCTAGTCGCTGAAAACCCTTGTGACGGTTTAGTTGTATAGGAAATGATGCTTGCTACTATTAATGGAACGAAACGACGCCATACTGTTAGAAATAGGGAATATTGTGTTCAATGTTTTTGTGTAAAGGAAAGCCGGATAATTAACAATCAGATCAATGTAACCGAATGAAGTTGCAAGTAAAGTGCTGTTCATTAGCATTTATTACGCGCTCTTTTCCTATCTAACGTAACTCTTCGGTTGTACATGAAATAATGTTTGCCTCTAATACCGAAACGAAATGAAATATGTTGTAATATGAATTAATATTATGTTGAAGTCGCCGCATTATTCAAGGCATCCATATGATTCCATCACATACAAACTGTACTGTATTGAGTTAAACTGATTTTAGCGCACCTTTTCAGACACCAATCGTATCGAGCCACCATGTTCGTTTTGCATGTTGACACTTTTAAAACTCGCGCATGTTCGCACCCAGATTTTGCGCGGTCAAAAAATCCTACGGAGCCTCCTTAACACAGACGAATAGAATACAGCATACGTGAAATATGTCTCGCTTTAAGGCCATGAAGCAAAACAACTCATTTCAAGGGCGGATCACGTAAAAAATATCGTGTGCTTCGACCCATAAGGCGAAACAGCATTTTGCACAGACATGTGCTGTATACGTGAAATGAATGGGAAAAAAAAACAGAAACAAAAGCAAAAACAAAAAAACCACGACAAACGTGTGTCTTCTTCAGTCGGTCAATTTCATGGAATTCCGGTCATTCCAATGGAAACACTGGATTCTATTCGCGTCCATTGGACTCCATCGGACTCAGATGGAGAACATTTTCCACGCCTACCTTCGACCTAAACACGATTTTTCCTAAATCTCTCACCGTTGGAAAATCGGTCATTCTCATGGAAAACAGTGGATTCTTTACGTGACCATTAAACACCAATGGAAACAATTTTTTAGGCTTACCTATAACCTAAAGACTATTTTCTTTTTAAGGTCTCTTAGCATCGGAAAATCGATCATTTCCATGGACACCTTTTTGATACAGGATCTTGTTCGTTAACATCGGAATCCTTTTGACTCTGATGTAATACAAATTTGGGGCCGGCCGTAAAACCTAAACACGATTTCGGAAAATCGATCATTCCGATGGAAGACACTGGATTCTATACGTGACCATCGGACACCGATGGAAAACATTTTCGAGGCTTATCTCTAACCTATAAACTCGATCTCTCGCCATCAGAAAATCGATCAGTCCGATGGAATCCATTGAATTCCATTCGTGTCCATCGGAATCCATGGGGCACTGATGGAAGAGTACGCATAATTAATTTATTGACTTCCTCGATTTGCTTAATTTACTCATGTGCGACTACGTGCCAGGCAAGCGCTTAGAACCTACGGTGAGTTTGATGAAAACTTGGACCAACTCATGACATCTATAAACATGTTCCAAAATGACGTTTAAACCAACATCGAAGTGAGTGCTGATGTAAATGAAGGACTATGAATAAGATCAAGAGCTGAAAGCAAATAGCTGTTTTGACTTTGATGTGAAATATTTTCATAGGTGGTCGTGATACCAATGGAATCATATGCTGAAATATGCTCGGCAAATGCCAATGCAGCTAACAGAGTCGCTGGTAAGAAAAAGTCTAACAGTTATAATTATAGCTAGGCGTGACTGTATTATTACGCCGGTAAACCGATAAAAAGTGCAGTTTGTCGCTTAAACAAGGAAACTGTATTCTCTCACACGATATTTTTGTATCAAAGGTTTCGGTCTTGGAAGGAGCGGGGGCATAGAGAAAACGAGATACATACGGCACAGATATGCTATGGCGTTATACCAAGAAGAAAATCTTTGTATGCCAAAAGGTCACACATAGCATCATTTTTCTTACGAGTTTTTTTATCATTGCCGAAGACTGCTCTTTCCTCTTGCAAAACGGAACGTTTTGGGTACACTCCTCGGAATATGAAGAGGTATGTCAATTCAAACTATAATTTGATAGTTCCTCTCGTTTTTCTCAGCTCACTATAAAGTTCTTGCAAAGAACTATGACTGCTTCTACAAAGAACGCCACGAAGCTCAGTTCAATATCATGATGAAATACTTGAATTTACAGCCTGATCATCTTGTAGTTGACCTCGCCAGTGGAACAGGTACCTATGGTGAGAAAATGGTCGAGACATTTAAACTGAAGAATCCCGTGTGGTGTGTAGAACCTTCTTCAGAGATGCAAGAAGCAGCCAGGGCAAAGAAGGGTTTGGTTACCGTAGAAAAAACCGCAGAAGAATTCTTGGATGATTTAGACAAACAGCATCGCTTCAACTTTGCCTTGTGTGTCAGTTCTGTTCATCATTTTAGTGATCCAGTTAAAGTTTACAAGGGCGTAGAATCGTGTTTAACGCCTGATGGTGTCTTCATGATCGCGCAAATGGGCGAGTACGTGTCTTTCCCTTTGTTCAAGAAAGCAAAGAATCGTTTCACCTCTTTCGTTTCCGGCAGAAAGGAAGGCACTTCTGCTTTCCTTCGATCAGCTAATTTTGAAGTTGAAGTTTCAGTAGAGCAGTTAGCTTTCATGGTTAAGAAATCCAAGTGGTACGACATGCTGCGAGGACGCTTCCATAGTACCTTATTGGAGCTGAGTGACGGGGAAATCGAGGAAGGAATTGACGAACTAGACAAAGGAATTCTTCAACACGCAAATAGAGATGATGACATCCCCATTTCTATGACTTTGTTAATATTCATGGCTAAGAAAAAGTAGGCATTGATGCGGCGATGTACTGTTCATGGAATTTCTGTACTGCGTTTCAATCATCTAGGGCTAAATAAATGTATAGCACAGTATGGCATGTATAATCGAAAAGTGATTTCAACCACGAGGTAGTTATCAGTTATTTTTTCAGGCGCTTTTTCGTCATCATTACATTATCTATAACCAGTAATTGAACGGCTTTTAATGTAACTTCTTAAAAGATATTTCGTTTCCTTTGGTTTCCAAGACACTATTGTAATATTCTTGAAGACAAAGGAACATTGTAGACCTTGAAGAAAAGCGTCTGTTCCTTCGACATGTCATGGGAACACTCCTCGTGTTAATTCGATTGCACTTAAATTTTCTGACGTCAGTTTATGAATCAAGGGTTTGGTGTGACATAATAAACTTAAGATGTTACTCCGTGATTTTAATACAAGCTTGAGGAAAGAAAAAATCTCGTACTCCATCGGAGTATGGATCTTGGGTTCTTAGGATTGGCGATCTGACACCCCAGCAGAGTGCTAAAGAGGCACCTTTACTACGCCATAGGCAAGAAAATGGTCTTTAACAATTCTAGTTAAAGAAAATATCATTATGATCGCAGAATTCAATGTTTTTTTTCCTTCAAATTGTTTGGATCGACATATTTATTTTAAACCTGAGGATTCCGTAAATATCTTTCTGCTCTTTAGCGCTTGAAGCGATTAGGTGGTCGATGACTTCCTTGAGTAAATGACTTTCTAAAGTTATAGCTTATTTGTTTGTCAATGATGGAAACTGTACGAGAGAAGCAGCACGATATGCCTTGAAGCGAAAGCTTATAGCTTGTCAGAGCATTAAACCGCACTCGACGTCATTTACAAGGGCGATGGTAAGTCAAAACTAACGATTAATCCTACACAAGCCATGATAGGGCATTGAAAAGCAATCCCCTTAAAAAGACGCTAAGTGTTCAAAAAATTTATTGATTAGTAAATGTACCAAAATCAATTACGTTACTATAGTAAAGGCTTTTAAGTTGTTTGGTCTACCAAGTTCAGAGCTTGCGGCAGAATTGTGACTAATTGAAATTTTTTTAAAGCAATAAACAAGTGGACCTTATGTAAAAAATTTTTTTCAAACAATAAACAAGTGGATCTTATGTGAAAAATTTGTTTCATAGTGCAGCATGCTGGGTGGATCTCTTTTTAGAGGGGGTGACGTTCAACGACAGAAGATTCGTCCAATTTTAGTTTCAAGGCGTGTTCTCAATGCTGTCCGCCTTATCTGCCATGCTATATATACTAAATAAGATAAGACTTGACACAGCGAAAGAACAGCAGCTGTCCTAAACACCACATTTAATGTTGCTGCACCAAATTGGTGGCGAAAAAAAAACAGTTATGAAAGGAAATAAAGAAATGAATAGTGAAATGAAATGGGGTCGTGTCTGGTCAGGTCCTTAGTATGCAACGAAAGCTGCTTTTTAAGACCTGTTTTCGGCTCGGTACCATTCGTTGGGTTACATTCCTAGCACCAGCACCCAGTAACTATCAGTTGGAGGTACTAGTCACTGCTTTTCTGCGAGGGAAAAACAGACAACCATAAGAAAATTGAACTGTTTTAGATCAGATCAGCTCGTTAGTTATTATTGTATCGAACTTTTGCTTCACGTTTAACTTAAAGCTCGCTGATGCGATTTTAGGATTACCACTTGCACTCTGTGCAAGACAAAACATTTATCATCCTAAACAAGGACTATTGTGGAATGTGTGAGGTGTGCGTCGCTGCAAACGCTATTTGAGGCGTCTGAATCCACACTTGATTATGCTGAATTTTCGACTGATTTAGCATCATCTGCTAGAAGTTAACAAAGTATGACTTTTTTTTAGCGACAAAACTCGTAGTGCGATGAAGTAACTACTGAGCAATTTTTTTTATTGAAATAAATTTTATTTTCGTAAAAATTGTGTTCAGATTCCTTTACGGGAAAGATGAACCTTCTGAAATTTGCCGCGCTCCCAACGGGTGGTGGCTTCGTAGCTAAATTGGTAGTAACATCCAACTGGTATCTGGGAGGCCCAGGTTTGAAATGTGTTGAGAACTGATCTTTTTCAGGATTCTTGAAGTTTCGGCAGTGGAAATTGCAGTCCACCTGCGCGGATCATTGCTTTGCTTGTCTTAACTACTATCTTACGAATAAATTACTCTCTACTCGGTTACAAATTAACCCTGTGAATGACTGCACTTGACAAAATCGCTTATTAAAAGCTAGGGAAAAACCGCGTTGTCTTAAAAAAAAATTTGCACTTTAGCAAAACATAACTATCTGTCGCTTGTTTATTTGTCTCTGTGGTCAGTTGTGGTTAAATTCTAAATCGTTAATGTCCCCTTGCGCAACCATAAGTTTTTATTTATTTTTGAAGGAGAACTTGGCCTACGGGAGAAAATAGAATCATTGATTTCTTTGCGGCATTTAATTTTTTTCCTTCTACTTCCAATATACATCTCAAGTTAGTTTTCTTTGAAAAGCCGGTAGTGAAGGAAATTTCTCATGAAAGAGTTTGAGTGGACCTTGATTAGTAAGTGCAGTGTAAGAGCTTAAAAATTAAATTCAAGAAATGTTAATTGATTGGTCGGAGAAAGCAATATAATAACCAGCAACGTAACAATCGATCGATAATGAGAAGTAGGTTTAAGGACTGGTGGTTCTTTCGAAAATGAGTACATCTTGTTCGTGACTCATGGTGTCCATTTTTTTGGGAAATAATATTGATTTTGTGGTACATCTTTAGTAGTCTATATCCTGTGATTGGTGCAATCTCTTTGATTGACAGCCAAGCTAAATAGCGCTTTTCTTTGGGTGTTTTGAAAGCTTTGATGGATTAGAGAGTGACATCGAGTGACGACTCTTTTAAGCTGCTATGTTTTGCTAAAATAGTTTAGTTGGCACCTGCAAGAAAGAGACGAAATAGCTAGTTTTCGTTTGGATGTTGTGGAAAAAAACCTTATCTTCGGAGACGAACATGAGGTAAAGGAAATTTCGTATATGCAACGAGTTTTTTCCAGGCCTAATTGGTAAGTTAGTGATTTTGTTAGTAAACTTGAGGTTTTGAGAGGTTATCTTTTCTAGCTGAAGATTTCAATCCTTCATAAACGAAATCGGTTTTTTTGTTTTAATTTTCGTTTTTTTTATTTTTTGTAAACTCGCCTTTCACTTCCGTGTGCGCCGCAAAACGAAGAATATTCCGTAATCATGTCAGCCTTGTCCTCGAAGGAAAACCCTGTTATCCTTGCAGGCGAATGAGGGTTTTGGTGTTTACTTTCTCTCAGGATCGGGGTGTATTGCACCAAAAAGGAGGAGGTAATGTCTTAGGGAATAAATTACGACCCTATACGATTTCAGTCATTCAATTTGCAAGTGTATAATTCACTATTATTTTCTGATAGAATCATTGCATCGATCGGATAGTAATGACATCTAAATACCAGAAGAACCAATATTTTTGACGAGTCAAAAGTCTCACTCTACCCATTTTGAATAACCGAAAATTTAATCCGCTGGCTTTATATATGCATATATAAAATACAAAAATTTGTTATATATATATATTTCTTTTCATTCGATATTCCAATGCCGCAATAAAGAAACCGATCGATGTCATTTATACGCAAAGACTGGGGTTTATTTACAACGCAAAAGGAACGTATGTTTTTGAAGCTTTTGAAAAACAGCTGATGAACGCCAAATTAACGAAAAAATTAGTAGCGTTGAAATTGCTTTCCTTTCCTTGAATTGCTATCGGATGCATTGACGACACTTCCTCGAAAATTGTTTTAAAAAAAAACTTTTTTCCACGAATAGCTCCTAAATTTAAGTTCATCTCCATTAGAGCGGTAAGCTAAAGTGGCCAAGCTTCTTAAGCGTAAACTGGATTTAATCAATCGAGTTTAGCTTGTGTTTCACATTTTACTCGATTGGATTGTAACTATTCGTTTTTTGTCAAGAAATTGACCGATTTGGCTCTTAATTTGCAAATGTAGATATTTTGGGCGGCAAGCGTGTCAGTTAGTAAACAGATGTTAATATAATCACTTTCTAGAGCATGATTTGTTCCATTTTTTACCTAAACCGTGTATGAAACATTGGAAAGTACAACAATTTTTTTTTTTGGGGGGGGGGGGGGGGTAACTGATGGAGCCAAATGATTTCAGAGAGAATGATTTAAATTTGGCTTAATACCTGTTTTCTTGATATATCAGTGGAATCAGATTCCCAACAAGGGCTTTATAATTATAGCTAAGGTTGACACCGACGCATCTATGTTGGCTGTACTCGAAAGCACACGGATTCTGGCCTTGTGGTCGACGGAAAGACATAACTGACATTTTCTTGCCCATTTTATCCTTCACTTTCATTATAACACACAGAGAAGAGCGAAAAATTTGATGAGATGATGATTATTTAGGCGCTGTTCGAGCAGAGTTCAAAGACAAACTTTAAGCCCATCATTTGGGTCAACTTGAATGGACGTCTATTATTTATTCGGTGAAATGCGCTTATAAGTTGATGAGAATCCCAATAAAAGAATAAACTTCTCATATTTGCCGTTGGCGGTATTTTTAATCATATCCTTCAATACATAAAGCCACTTAAAAGACGGAAGGAAGCTGTATTTCAGGAGAGGTTTTTTAAAGACGATTCGATGAATTAAAGCGCTATATTGAATTGCGGTCTACTTACAAAGCCTACTTCACGAAGGAAGGGCTTAAAAATACCGGAACTTTTTTGGAAGATTTGGGTGACTTAAGTTTTATTCCTTCCTAAATTTAGTTTAACTGACTTTAGATGTGATTTCGAATAAATTAGTTTCTTTACACGAAATTCAATAGTACTTTGCACCATTTGAGTAGTAAATGAGGTCAATTACCCTGGACCAATAAAATTTATTTGGATTTGTTGGACACACAATATGTCATTACGTGACTCATAACAAGCCACTGACATTATCAATACAAAGGGGAGATTTATTCTAGATGCTTCTTCACTGACGCAGTGGAAATCATTTACTGCTCTTTGAAAATTTAGTTACATGCGTAACTAAACCCTTTAGTGTTGCTACGTAATGCTTAAGTGCCCCTTCATTTCATAAAAATTACGTTTTAGAGGCCTGCTCATGTGAGCGAGTAAAATCGTTTTTAATTATCTCTATAGTTGTTTGTTTGAATGATTCTCGCGTTTTCCAAACTAAATTAAGACAAGAACTGATTTTCGTGCATTCAATAAAAAATACATAATGATACGTAAAAACATTGAAAAAGCGTTTGAAATGAAAGACAAACTGAAGCAATTTCACTTTCCTATCGTTTTTTATATGACTACGCAAAACCTTGAAACTGCCATGGGCGATATTTCGATTTTTCAAAGATGTACAGGAAAGTTAATAGTCATTTCCTGGAACGTTTTGTTTGTTTTTGTCGGCGAGGAAATAGAGGATTGACTAAAAATTGGATAACAATTCAAGGATCCACTTCACCGATATAATTAAACCTAGAAGTTGCTATTGTACAAGATTATGTCAGATGTCGGGAAGAAAATGATACATTTGAGTTACTTTTGAGAAATTTTTCCTAAAGTAGAACTCATATTTGTCAAATTGACGTTTAAACTGCTTTCCGAAAATTAATAAAGGCGATTTAATATTGGGCTGATTGCATCTAAGTGATTAAACACCAAACATAACAGCCCAATTTTTCATTTAATTTCGTTTTCGATTTTGTAAATAAGATTTTTTTAATCGAATTGTCTAATTAGTTCTGTGAATTGTCGGCTGTAAAACTTGATTTCTTAGGGAGAAGTTTACTTTCTGTCTTTATCTTAATTCATATGTGATTCTTTCTTTTCAAATTAGAAAACAAAATCACGCTGGGAATGAAACCGTGATAATCCAAGTGGGGTGTGATATCATGGCTACAAACGAAATCATGCAAAATGAACGTAAAAAAAATTTTAACTATGATGAAAGAGCTTTTTTTGCAATCCCATATTGAAGAGAGTGGATATGTAGAGCTTGCAAATGATACCAACACAGTTGCTTTTATGGCTGGATATTATAAATTGATACTGCGATTTTATCCTAAGGCTGGCCGTTTTCTTCTCCCGAGTAATTAGGCGCTAAGTGCTTCATGCTGTGTGGGTTGTTCTAAAAGCAATTTGTCAATCGAAATTTCCGTTCATCAGGCACACTTTTTTCCAGAGGTATTTTCAGCAGTTCCTTTTGAGGAAGGAAGCTATCCCGTCGGTATTTTAAGTAGAATTGCCACCGACAAGAGGATGAATTTCTTGGATTCTCGCTAATTTAGGATGATATATTTTTTAGCTGAATTAGCGGGTATTAGTTTCGTAAAAATTCCAATCCGTGTCAATCAATAAAGGTTTCCATTTTGCGTCTTTAATATGAACTCAAGGTGTCCTTCGTGCGCAAGAAAAAATGGTGTATCACCACACCTAGAGGATAGTTTCTTCATCAAGTCGCAAATGCAATCACTCTACTGAATACCAACTGACAACTTTGAAGTGAGCATAGATTCACTTTGAATTAATTCTTTGATATTAACAGTTTTTAGTTTCCCCATAGCGTATTTCGTTAAATTTTCAAATCGAATCGTTTTTACGGAAGCGATATGTACTTTGTTGTGATGACCAACCCCTGGAGTGAAAAAAAAATTAAAATTCAACTATTTCCTCGACTGACTTGACAACCATTAAACAGCATATCAATCAAATGCCAGACTTTGGATAGACAGTGTCGATTCCCTTCAAGTGTGGAGATATACTGAGAAGGATGGTTAAGTTTTGTGGTCCATATAAAACTGAATTTGTGTTATGAACTAGCGGGTGAATCTATGCAACCGAAGTCTTTGATCGCAGCTCTCTACAGTTGAAGGAAGTGCACCTGCCAAACATGTACAAAAAAATGACGTCGTAATACTAGTCTTAGGGAATACACAAACTTCACCATGGTCAAATGGAACAAATTGGACTAGCTAATGAGGAAACGTATGGTGTATATGTCTATATCTAGACAACGCTTTCTGCACTTGTAAATGTCTGGTTCCGATATTACTCTTTCACCTTCAGAACCTTTTCACCTTTTTTAAAAGTGAGTTGAGTGAGTTTTTACGCTGCTTGATTTCCACGTGGTAGAAAACTCGTTGATATTTCCGGTTGTCCATTCTTTTTATATTATCATTGTAGCATTGTTCAAATGGTGACTTGTGAGCCATTATTACTAAACTTTTGGCTTGCTTTAGTTTGTAAAAATTAATTATACAATCCCTACTGGTTTGACTCATGATCTTGCGAACAGTACTTATACAGTTAAAAAATCAAGAGGACAAAAATATTTAATGCTTTGAGTTCAGTTCATGTCTTTCCGCTGGATTGTTTTTCTACAGTTATTTGAAGATTTATTTCAAAAGACATCCTCGACTCAGGTATTCGTGGTGGTTTTATGGCAGAGCAAACATTTTGAAATAAGAAAGTAATGACTGACGTTTTAGCACGGGTTTCATAATTTTTATGCCTCTCCTTGGCATTAGACTCGTCATACTTAATACTTCTTGTATAAGCGGCCTTTCTCTAAATTATAATGAGGTGCTCCCTTCAAGGCTTCTTGCCAGTTTTCGAAAAAATCAACGTTCGGCTAAAACGCTTGGCTGTATTGAAGATGGCCCTTGAAGCAAAATATGTAAACTTTGTTGTGATGACCAACCCCTGGAGTGAAAAAAAAAATTAAAATTCAACTATTTCCTCGACTGACTTGACAACCATTAATCAGGATATTAATCATATGCCGGACTTTGGATAGACAGTGTCGATTCCCTTCTAGTGTGGAGATACACAGAGAAGGATGGTTAAGTTTTGAGTTCCATATAAAACTGAATTTGTGTTATGAACTAGCGGATGGCTCTGTGCAACCCAAGTCTCTGATCGCAGCTCTCTACAGTTGAAGGAGGTGCACCTGCCAAACATGTACAAAAAAATGACGTCGTAATTCTAGTCTTAGGAATACACAAACTTCACCATGGTCAAATGGAACAAATTGGACTAGCTAATGAGGCAAAAGTATGGTGTATAAGTCTACATCTAGACAACGCTTTCTGCACTTGTAAATGTCTGATTCCGACATTAATCTTTCACCTTCAAAACCTTTTCACCTGTTCGAAAAGTGAGTTGAGTGAGTTTTTACGCTGCTTGATTTCCACGTGGTAGAAAACTCGTTAATATTTCCGGTTGTCCATTCTTTTTATATTATCATTGAAGCATTGTTCTAACAGTAACTTATGAGCTATTATTACTGAACTTTTGGCTTGCTTTAGTTGGTAAAAATTAATTATACAATGACTACTGGTTTTACTCATGATCTTGCGTACAGTTCTTATACAGTTAAAAATTCAAGAAGACAAAAATATTTAATGCTTTGATTTCAGTTCATGTCTTTCCGCTGGATTGTTTTGCTGTAATTATTTGAAGATTTTTTCCAAAAGACACCCTTGACCTAGGTATTCTTGATGATTTTATGGCAGAGCAAACATTTTGAAATAAGAAAGAAATGACTGACGTATTAGCATGACTGAGTTTCATAATTTTTATGCCTCTCCTCGGCATTGGACTCGTCATACTTAATACTTCTTGTATAAGCGGCCTTTTTCTTAATTACATTAACGTGCTCCCTTCAAGTCTTCCTGCAAGAAGATGGCTACGGAAGCGGTTATGTAAAACTTTGTTGTAATGACCAGCCCTTAGAGTGAACAAAAAAATTAAAAATTCAACTATTTCCTCGACTGACTTGACAACCATTAATCAACATATTGATCACATGCCAGAATTTTCTACAGTTGACATAATGGCTCTCGGGAAATTGCTGAGCGCATTTACAATTTATTTATATCGTAGAATGCACTTTGTGAAAGCAGAGCACGAAAACAGCGGATTTTGAGATTTGCTTGAGGCGCCAGGAAGAACATAGGCTCATTTTGTGGTCAACCCACGTTACACGCTCCAAGTGCATTTTTAATGCAGCACGATAATCATGACGCTCGCCTGAAAGCCTGGAGCAGTTTTGGCAGTGTCTCTTGACCAGTGGGCGTTGAAACCACCAAGGTGAAAGCATTGTGCAAACAGAGAACAAAACGTAGTCGACGCCATCGGCGGTCGGCCGTTCAATAACGTATTACGTTTCGTGTTTGTTTATACGTGAACAGCACAGACTTTGATAGCACAATTTTGACGTAATTTAGCACTTTGATCGTTTGCGGTTAGTTGCAGATGTCATGTAGTTGTAAGATATTATGGTCATGCACTTGACTTGAGTTAGTACTTGAAGTTCCGAGTGCTTAATGGCTGACTGTGTTTTCTGGTATGTATTGCATATTTGATATATACTCTACCAACTCACTTTGCTATCTGCTAGTACCATCTTTGCGGAAGCTAAAAAGGATAGAAACTCTTACACGCTAGCTATCGTTATTGCGTAAGAAGAAGGAAAAACAGTATGTCGTAATAGATTCCCACATTTATTTAACAACAGGAAGATTGCTAGTTTGTTTATCAGTATTCCATCTGTCCATAAACCCAAGATCTCCTTTCGATTAGGCGACCGGCGAAACTCACGGCTATTTTTGACTCCGCGATCAGTATCTGTCGGCCATTGTTTTGGTGTGCCACTAAGAAAGTCTTTAGTCAAACTGATACAGTTTACGTATCTATGACCCAGATAACCAAATCATACGTGCTCTACCGTGCCACAGGAAGTGACAAATGAAATTTTAGCATGTCGAGAAGCGAGAAGAAAGAGCATAAATACGAAAAAGACGAATTCAGCTTGATCTGTCTTTTTTTCTCTGATTGATTTTCCTAAATTTTCATCGAGAAAATTCCCTAAGTGCACTATTGTGACTATGGTAAAGAGCTTTTGAAAATTTCAGCAGACGACGCTTTTGGTTTCTATTTGAAATCTTGCTGTAGTTACTGTCGTGAATGAAATTTCATTTGATTTCACTTGAATGGAAAGTGCGTTTTAACAGTCTTTTATCTTCGTTCTCGATCCAAGTAGGTTGTCTAGATGTTAGCCTTTTCTTGATCATTGACTGCATGCGCCATGTGCTGAAGGCAATGGCGCCAGAATACACCAGTAATTGTCACTTACCAACCCCTGGTTTCTTATTTTACAGTTGTCAAAGGTTGCATAATATTGTGGCTTCTGGGAGGAAAAGGTAGCCTAAAGTCTACACAAGTCTTACTCAAGACTGCACCAAGCGAAGGCTACGCTCGCCGCAGAAGAACGAATTTAAAGGAAAAATTGAGTTAAGTAAGTTGTGCTTTTTGTTTTTTTTTTTTTGTGACTAGGCTACGGACGTTTCCCTTGAATTTTTTTTCTTAGTACCACGCAATTTATGAGATAATTTCTCACGTGCTGTTCCATTCAAATAATTGTATAGAAAACGTAATTATATTATTGTCGTCTTGCGAGCGAGCGCAGAATGCATAACACACATTTGGTCATGGTACGTGACATGAAGAAAAAATTTTGGTAGAAAATTTTTTTTTTTTTTTGACTAGAAAAAAAATTGGGCAAAATCTGATATTCTTTAAAGCTAAATTTGGCAACGTAGGCGAGCATAGCACACCATCGGATAGCTTAGATCAAACCCTTGGTGTTCATTTCTTACTACACATAGTTGATTCATTCATACGTACTATAAGTGTTCCTATGAGCAAATGAGATAACGTGTCAAAATTCTTGCGAATGTTATGTTTGGACACTTCTTCAGTTCTTGTGAAACCGCATTACTGTTGGCAAGGAAGTGACATTTTCCCTTTTTCGTGGTTATCATTAAAACGTTTTGCATTACAGTTATTATTTCAGTAATAATTCGATTTAGAACCCTCGTTCTAATAAGCGCCCCCTCGAATTTGTTGATGTCTATAAGCACCCCCATTCTAATAAGCACCCCTATCGAAAAAAGCACCCTCCTTCCAAAAAATGCCTCTTTGCCAATAGGCGTCTATATCCCAATTAGCACCCCTATTCTGTTTCAGTGTTAGCACTGTTAGGGTACATGCACATTAAGATCAACCGTGGCCCATTTTCCTTTAATTGCTCACTTAAAGCCTCTCTACAAAAAGAGTGCTCTTCGTCTCAGTCACTCAACTTGAATGTCCACGTGACTACACAATTCCTCTAAACGAATGATCTAGCTAATGAGGATCCAGGGACAACGAGTCCATTTTCCAGTCTTCGTGATCCTTTTCATGTAATAAATCAAAGCCTTGTTTCGCGCACTCTGCTGTTTTTCAAAAGAGAATGAAGCGCCTTGTCTCTTATAAACGCCCTGTTTCGAATAAGCGCCCTCCCGCGAGGTACCAATAGTAAACAAGCACCTCGGGCGCTTACTCGAATCCTCACAGTACGTCCGCTATGAGTCGTTTTTACGTTTATGGGTTAAAATATTTGCATTAACTGCAGACAAGAAATTTTTTGCCATCATGTAGCATAAAAAGTATTGGGGCGTTTTATTTTAGCGACGGTTCTTTTTTACTGCGGAAACTACTCTACATTTTGCAAATTGAGAACAATTTACAAAAAGTCTGCTACAATAAAGAAACCGCAACATGTTAATGCTACGATGTATTTTTCTAAAGGGTATGTTAAGAATTATAAGAAACGTGAGATGAATTTTGCCCTTTGTCCAAACGTCATATGCAGACTCGCCAACTTCCTGGGTCTCCTGAAGGGGAGCTCACTAAAGAAGGATGCTTATCATTAGTGGGAGGGGAGACAGGGGATGTATTAAAAGTTCTACAGGAAGAAACCGCAACATGACTCATTGCTTTTTTTTTTTTCTATTTTGATATGCGTAAAGTTAGACTGTTTGAGATGTGAGATATGTGTTAGTGAATAGCGGAAAAAATAAAAAACTACACTCAGTTTATTCTGCAGATGGAATCTGGCCTTACATTGAATAGTTTACTTCACACACCAGTTTACTTTAAACAAGACGCGAGGCATTTCTCTTTTACGTTCTCCATAGTTTCTAGGAAGTCATGACAGAACTTGCGTCTTGAGACCTTGGCCGGGTTGTTGATAGCTGGATGAAGATAACGCAGAGTTAGAGTGAAATCTGATTTCAAATCTGAAAGCTTTCAAAGAAAATTCATTATAATTCCTTTGTCTACAATTTGATGATTGAATGTTCTAAAAAAACAAAGAAATTGTTCCGAAAAAGGCTTTAAAACAAAGTGTAAAGAAACTGGGATTGTAATTTAACCCTGGGTTGGCGGTAATTGGTCTTCGAACAACTGGGTCCAGCTGATCTTCAAATACATGTCTTTGCAAAAATAGTCTTCGCAAATGTGCTAAAAAAGTTGACTTCGGAAGCTACCAAATTGAAACTTGCTTAACATCAGGGGCGATCACATGCGTTTCAAATCTCCTCCTTCGATTTTTTTTGTGATCTTCTTGGAAAAAAGGGTACTCTCAACAAGAATAATGATTTCTTTTCGATAATTAGGGTGACAGCTATTTTTTCAATTTCGTGTCGCAGTTTGCCAGACGAGGCTTCCTATTGAACACGCCCTTCAGTCACTTAGTGGTTACAAAAATCATATAATAATATGCTTTGTCAACTGAAAGAGTCAGTTAGATATTGACACTATCGGTCACGAAATAAAAGATACGAACATTTATGTGCTAAAATAGGTGCAGAATCGATTTGAACAATGAAACTTTTGTTTTCCTTGTCGGGAATGTTAACATCTTCAGTGGAATGAAATCGTAAGTACTGTCGTCATTCGGAATCAATCAATCGGTAAGATGTATTTATAGGAAGCGTTTAACGCTGTTAATGACACAGTGAGCCTTTACACCTTTGTCGTTACCGAAAATTAACACGGTCTTTAATAAAAGTCATAGTCTTAGGTCTTTTGTCATTGGCTCATTTGCAGTTATCAATTGCTCTGACGAAGGGCTAACGCTCGAAACGTCAGCTTTTTTACACTTTACGGTGGCCAATTTACGTTTTCAACCTAGTTGTTAACACTAAATTACCTGCTACACTCTCCCACCGACGCAGCACCACAGTTTCTTTGGAAACTTACCCCCTTTATTCAATGCAGTTATCAATAGTTAATAATTTCCACCATTTTTACCGACAGTGGGGTTAATAATTGTTTTAGTATAGACCACAACGAAATCAACAAATTAGGTTATATAACGAAAAATGGTCAGTAGTTAAACTCTTGACGCAAGATTCTGTTTCTTCAGCTGCCCGAAGGTAAATAATACTTTGCTAATAACCTCCGAACTAACCAATTGGCGCGCGCGAAAAGCACTGTATACTTGAGTGAACGCTCTGTTTACTTAGCTTGCGTAAAATGACTGACCCAGTGATAGTTGCCGAATTTAGTGCTTTTCCTTCCTGGGGACGGATGAAAAGCCTTGGGCTTTAATTTAACATTTTTTTTTCTTTTCATAAAGATTGCTTCTCATTGTCGTTCGAAAAATTATAAAAGCAGCAAATCCAGACAGAGATGTAAAAATCCCCTGCACGCTCTCTTGAACATAACAGCGTTACATATCTCGTGGTAAGTTGAGTTTTGAAATATTGTAACTTTCACAGGAACAGGTTTTAAACTGATTCTTAAAAAAAAAAAGAAAAACACCTCTGTAGTTGATGGCAAACCTCTTTGCCCACAAAGGTGTTAAGTGGGAAAATTTTCGATTAGCGCACCAATTACATGAAAGTCAGGTAAGCTTTTTTTTGGCTACATGTACGTTTATTATTTTCTATTACGTATAGTTTGAAAGATGGGTTGTTCTCTGTTTGTTTGACTCTCTAAATGGCCAGATCATAGGTAATTTTCTACTAAAACAAGTCTCAAATGAGGACTCTCATCGTTTGAATTGCATCTCAGAGGATTACTTGGTGTTTGATGTGACTCTGTAACTTTTCCAAGAGCGCCTTGGTTTTTTACTTTCGTTTAAGTCCTTTTTGGAGATGGAAAAGTGAAAACCAATAATTACCCAGTTTTACAAAGCTAAACTAGTTTCCTTGCCAGATCCCACACTGTTTATTCATATAATTTTTTTCTTTTTCACATGTACGTTGCCATTTTGTTGAGTGCAATTTATGTATAGCGAGGTGAAAGAATGAAGTCTAAAAGGTTTTTGTTAATTCAGTATTTACCGTTCTGTAATTTGCAAGAATTTTCTCGGCGGCAGTAACGATTTTTGCCGCGCAACGCAAGAAATAATCAGTGGTGTCATGTTTACATTCGTATCTATGAAATACTACACCCTTGTGAACTATTTTTAGACCACTTCGAGCAGTCATTTTTCTCCACTCCACCTCTGCTGCAAACAAATGATTTCTTTCGTGCAATACTCGGATTATGTTGCATCAAAAGAGCCAGACTGATAAACTCTCTTGACTACATTTATAGACTAAGTTATCGCGTAAATGGAACCGAAAGCTTATCACCTTTTTAAAATTGACTAAAAGTTCGCGGTTACAACAAAAAACCACCACCATATTGCACTGTTTATGGATATAATTTCGAATTGTTGGTAACTCACAAACCAGCTTTCGTTTGATGTTCAAGATGAAAGAGATTAACATCTTGACGCTTTCGCGAAAGATATCTATCTTTTCACATTCAATAGCTATGGATGGGCTGAGTCATGCAAACATTTTCTTTTTCAGATGAATTTCTTATTATAAGTAGAGTACAGGCTGTTCCAAAAAGACTTTCTGTCAATATAAGGACTTCTAGTTTACGAGTCTTGATAGTCTTATTTGACTTAGAAGTCAATGTTTTGCGTTCAGGAAAGTTACAGATGTTTGTAAATGTTTTCGTCTTCCCGGTTGGAAACATCGTAACCTGAGTCGATGCAATAATTCTTCTTTCCTCCAGCTTTGATATGCCGAGGAAATTCAAATTTCACCAAGCTGAATAGCCGTATTGTAAGTGCTGTTGATTTTATTAAAAAATGAAACACGTTTTGCTTTTTTCTCAACAGCTAATCATGCGATCCCCAAACAACTCTTTCACAAATGAAATTACAGTGAAAAGTGAAAGTATCACCGAAAGATCATTTCATGTAAATTTATTTTTGACAAAACAGTCTTCCATAAGCGTTTTATGCGGGGTGTTTTTGATTTTCTATCCTTGAGAAACTCGGAGAATTCGCATAATGGTCATTTAATTATCTTATCCTTCCTTTTTCTTTACTTGCAAGCATGTTTGCGCGGATTTCTAATTATGTCGTGCCATAATCATCATCTTCAGCCTGGGCGATCGCAAAATTAC